GGCAAAGGTTTAACTCCAGAGTTAATACATGCAACACTTTGGGGGACACCCTATGGGTGTCTGTCCAATGCACGAAGGTTCTTTTCACACTCAGCAGCCGCATCTGTAGCCCGGCGACCCCTGGCCACAGCTGGCTGTGGATGGTGGATGCTGTGGGAGGTGGATGGCTGTGGGAGGTGGATGCTCAGGGTGAGCTGGGCCAGTCAGGGTTCCTTCCCTGGGAATCTGGAATTAGGGCTAAAAAGAGCTATAAAAATCCAGGAGGTACAGTATCGGTATGTTTTCTAATATGTCAGATGAGAAGCAAAACTTTCCTGAGGCCAGGCTGTGTTCCTGCCCTCGGATCCCTTGAGATCTCTCCAAATCCTTATGTTAAACTCCCCTTGTTGCAGAAGGTGAAGCCTCCAAAGATGGCCGCCATCGGTGCCTTCCTTCCCTGGTGGCCCAAGTCATTCTTCCATAAGGAGAAGGGACCTATTTCCCCTCTCCAGTAGAACATGGAGGGGTGATGCCCTACCAGTTCCAGACCTAGCTGGTAAAAGTCCTGACGAACGTCCATCTTTGCTCCCTTGGGATCTGGCTGCCATGGAGAGCAGCTCAGGCCAGACTATCGAAAAAGGAGAGATCCCATGGAGAGAGCAAGCCACAAAGAGAACACGGGAGCACGGACTTGGGATTGCAGCTCTCAGTGCAGCCTCGCCACCAGCTGAACGCAGCTGAGGGAGTGACCCCAGCCTGTGCCCCATGGAGTTGAAAACCCATCCAGCAGAGCCCTGCCTGAACTCTCAACCCACAGGATCGCGAAACACAATGACTGTGGTTTCTTTCAGTCACTAAGTTGTGGGTGGCTGTTACGCAGCAGTAACAGATGACTCAAGCAGTCTCCCTGGAATTAATTTCCTTTCCTGCCAATAGTAGTCCGGGCACGTCGAATAACCTCTGACATCCCACTTAGTGCTTCAATAAGGAATGTGGGGGCAAAATGAGGCTGTTTGATGAATTTCCTTTCTGGCTACTATCTCTTCCTCTAGGGATGCTGAAGAAAGCAGAGCTGGGCTGTGGGCCGAGTGGTGAGCCAAGGTTTAGGCACTCCTCCCCCCACTCTCCAGGGAGAGAAGCGGGTCCTGTCTGCTGCTTGCCTGGGGCTCCCTGGGGTGGTCAGCTCCGGCCAACTTGGCCTAGGGAGGCAGCGCCTCCTGGGAGGCCTGAGGAAGATTCTTCTCTGTATCTCTCAGAGCCACAGGAGTGCGCAGACCAATGTTGGTAGCTTTGGAGATACAAACAGATGAAGAGGAACCGGAAAGGAACCATGAGACCAGCACAGAATGGGTTCCAGCTTCTAGCTCCGCAAGGTCCCCTCCAAATCTGGGCTTTAAAAATCTCCATGTTCTTTGGAGTCTAAGAATTTGGGGCCAGGCCTTCAGGAAAGACACCCAAGTCAGCTGAGAGCTAAAAGCAGAATTCTGAAAGCTAGCCAGCCAGAGACGTACATCTTGGCTCCATGTGACCTTGGGCAAGCGACCTTGGGCAAATCGCTTCTCTAAGCCTGTTTCCTCACCTGCAAAAGGGGGTTAAATAATAGCACCTACTTGACAGGGTTGAGAGAAGCAGTTAAGGAGTTAATCTCCAGGAAGTTTTAGATTCAATGCTTGGCACATAGTAAGTGCTCAATAAATGGTGCCCAGTATGATGATTTCAAACCACTTCCTAGAAGACTCCACACCATAGAACTGGTGTGAACCCAGAAGGGGTCTCACATACATCTGCCATTTTAACAGTTAGAAGGAGCTCATTTGCTCTGAGAGGGGCAGCCAACAGCATGGTCTGGGGTCCTCCATCAGACACGGCCAAATGCTATAGAGTCTGAGCAGGAAGGAACCCGAGAATCAGACTGACCTGCCTCATTAGATGGGTGGGAGAACTGAGGCCCCAAAGCCTCATTAACAGAGAACCTCGGGTTCTGAAATGGGACCCCCGTTGGCACCCTGTTTTCAGACTTGCTTCGTTTCATGTCTGATGTATCATCTTGCTTTCTTCTGACTCTGCTCTGATCCCCTCCCAGGGAAGCATGGATAGAACAGGAAGGAGGGCAGGTTTGAGATCGTAAGACACAAATAGCGACGGGTTTGCCTCTGGCAATGCTACCAGCAAGAACTGGCTGCTGGAACAGGGCAGGGAGACAGCCACGGCCAGAATCCTGTGGGACTGTCCTCCCCCACTCTGGCAGAAAGCACATCTCAGCAAAGGGACACTCTGTCATCAAGAGCTTGGCCCCGGCCTCCCTGGAAGCCTCTCAAATCTCCTTTAGGGGAAGCCAGGGCTGCTGGAATTCCAGGGCTTGCCAAACAGGCGTCTCAGGGCATAATTCTAGAACGGAAGCCCTGGCCGGGGTCAAAGACTGAGCTTCCTAAGCAAATTCATCTCTAAACAACTGCCACCATTTATGGAGCGTGTGCTCTGTTCCAGGCACTACGATAATCCTGTGCCTCCTAACTAAACACTCACCAAGAATTATGCGCTGATGTTGTCCCCATTTTACAGAGGAGGAAACTGAGGCACAGAGAGGCTAACGTGGTGTACCTAAGGTCACACAGAGGGTAAGTGGTAGAGCTGGAATTTGAACCCAGGTATCTCTGACTCTGAGTCCCCAGTTGTTAACCACGGTGCTATTCTACCACGTCACCAAGTTAGTTGAGGCAATATGACAGGACATGGAGGACGAAGCAGGGGACCCATCTATCCTGTTCTAGAATGTTCCAGAATGTTCATGCTGCAATCTGCTCGGGCCACAGAGACCTCCTTAACTTCACCCTCAGAGGCAGCCCACCTGATACATTTGAACATGGCTGGCACCCCTGGCTACAGCTGATTGGATGAGAGCCCCTGACATAAGCCAGCCAATCAGAGTGCCTTCCCTGGGAATTTGGACCCTCGGCTACAAGATTCTAAATTCTCCATCATCTTGGCCACAGGGGATATCTACAGAAATTTGGGGCAATATGGTCTGCCACATTCACTCACTTACTCAGCAAATATTTTACTGCACACCTACTATGAGCCAGGCTCTGAGAATTCACTAGTGAACAAAACAGGCAAACATCTCTACCTAACAGGGGAGAGATGTACAAGAGTCAAAATAAATATATAACATATAAAATATGTTACCTGATTGTAAGCACTATGCCAGAAAATGGCTGAGAGGAGTTTTGCTGGTAAGTGTCTACTCTTAAAACCCATATCCCTCACTTCCAAAAGGCTGAGGCCCATTGTTGGGGGGAAGTGAACACACACATAGGCACACACACACACACTCACAGACCTCCTGCCTGGACGACTTCCCACCCTTGATAGGTCTTTTATAAAGCAAAATTAAGGGGAGCCTGGCTGGCTCAGTCGATTAAGCATCCGACTCCCGGTTTTGGCTCAGGTCATGATCTCACGGTTCCGTGGGTTCAAGCCCCGCATCGGGCTCTGCACGGACAGTGCAGAACCTGCTTGGGATTTTCCTTCTCCCTCTCTCTCTGCCCCTCCCCCCCCTCTCAAAATAAATAAACTTAAAAAAATAATAGAAAGAAAAATTAAGAATTCGATCCTATAAGCAGGCCCCTTGAGATCTCTCCCTTCGGCAGCCTCCGGGGTATTCAGATGGAGGGCGACCCATGAGGCGGACCCAGGAAGTACGTGGCAGGCGCTTGTCATATGTCAGCAGTGCTCCCCATCCACCCTGAGTAAAATCATCTGCAGAGACTCAAACCAAAGGCGCCAACTTCCAGTCTCCATCCAAGAACCTCTTTAACCCTTAGCTGAGTGTGTGGGTAGGGACATAAATGGCACCTCGGTGCCTGCGTCCGTTGTAAGCAATTGGCAAGGGCCGCCCCTGGCAGAAGGGGGACTGGGAAGGGGGCTGGGAAGGAGCAAGTCCATTTGAGACCCTGGTCCTGGAGGACCCTCCAGCGGCCCGGCATCCCGACAGCCGGTCTTCCACCTGTACCGAGAGCCCCCATACACACATACTGTCCTAGGTCCCTGCCTGCCTCCTACCTCCCCAACCCCATGGTCACCCCCGCTTTCTCCACTCCTCCCTTCGCAAGACCACCCACACACTGCTCCCTCACTCTCTAGCACTGGCCTTGCTCACTGATTTTGTCACTCTCTGACGCACCTGTTACACAGCCTCCTTCTAGCCCTTGCTCCTCTCCCCATACATTTTTAAACTATCTGCTCTCCAAACTCCACCTTTCCCTTCTTCTTACCATTTATGAAACACTGAGTGTCACCAGGGTCTGGGCCAAGGAGCTTACATGCATCATCTCATCTGCTGCTTGCAACAGTCCTGTGGGATAAGTACTGTCGTGCCCCCCACTCGACAAGTGAGCAAACGGAGGCTCAGAGAGGTGAGGCATCATGCCCGGGACCCACAGCGGGCAAGCAGGGAACTGGGACAAAACCCTGGGGTTCTTCAAGTCCAGACCCGTCAGGTTAACCTCTGCTGCCTCCCTCTCGTGCTGTCTCCCTCTTTCAAGCTCCATTTCTGCAATTCTCTTTTCTAAGTTCATTTCAAATGCGCTATTTGGCATACCGTCCCTAGACAGACACTCTTCTCCTTAGCTCTCCCTCGGCTGTATATTCTGGTCAATGGTGACTCCAGAGCATATTTCTACGTAACTGAAATTGGCCAAGACGCCCTGCGCTCACAATCACTGGCCCCCAGGCTCCAGTGACAATCTCCTACCATCCTACCAGAGCTCCCCCTCTGTATGGCACCCCTAGCCTCCAAGTCCCCTCCCTAGCGAGCCCCCAGCCCATTCTCTCTGCTCCTCCCTGAGCTCTCCCACCTAATGCCACAAGGATACCAGTTCTGCAGGGTCAGCGGTCTGGCAGGTCACGGACGGCAAACCCTCAGGGAAGCCCCGCCACCCCAGCACACCCCTGGGCGGCACAGCCTGCCGGCCCTCGGGCCCCGGGGGCTCTCCGGACAGACGGCAGGTGTCAGGCCTCACCCAATTCGCTCCTGCTCCATCTCTTCCATTTTCTCGGCTCGAGCGATCACCCTGTTGATGATTTCCTTCTCCTCATCTGTCAGCTCTTCCTGCTTCCTCTGTCTGTCGGGCGGACCGCTGGGATGGACGGGCCAGCCTGCCTGGAGCCTGAAAGGTAACATGGGAAGGCGTGAGGCTGTGCAGCAGGAAGAAGACTGTGGTTAGGTTCTGGTCCCTGGTGTCTTCAGTTAAAATTCCTGCTGGGAAACTCTCCAGCTAGGAGATGAGCCTCAGTTTGCTCATCTGTACAATGGGACACATTCCTCCCTCATAGGGTTCTCATGAGTTTCTGTCTACCGAGTGCTTAGCACATGGTAGGCATATTCTGTGAGCAGCATTTGTAGGAAGTTCAGGAGAACCCAGAGAGTAAGGGTGTTCTCGGGAGAAGAACCCAGAACAGTAGACTCCACAGCCGGAGGGGAAACCATTCTGGGAGGAGGGGGTCCGAGGCTGACCCAGCTCCTGCCTGCACATATGTTCTGTTTGTGCAGCAGATTATTTCCTTTATAAATTGGAAAGAATTGCCAACAGGGTTTACAAAAAGCTCGTAATTTCACAAAAACATCCAGATTTCCAGCCTCAGAAGCTCCCGTAGCGTTTTGCATTCCATCTTGTGCTTTTTTTTGGCTTTTCTTTCTTTCTTTCTTTCTTTCTTTCTTTCTTTCTTTCTTTCTTTCTTTCTTTCTTTCTTTCTTTTCTCTCTCTCTCTCTCCCTTCCTCCCTCCTTTCTTTCTCTCTCTCTTCCTTCCTTCCCTCCCTCCCTCTCTCTCTTTTTCTTTCTTTCTTTCTTTCTTTCTTTCTTTCTTTCTTTCTTTCTTTCTGTCAGCACTGACACAGCACCTCCCGGGTGCCCACATGATCCCGTTGCCTCCTCACGCCGTCCCTACAGGGCAGGGGCTGTTATTGTCTGCTTACTGGTGAGGAGACCCCAATACGGAGCAGTGAGACCACCTGCCCAAAGTCACATGGCTGGGAGGTGGCAGAGGTGGAATCCAGAGCTGGGCAGGCTGCACACTTAACCTCCACGACACAGAGGGAAGGGAAGGCCAGCCCCACAGCCCTGGCGACGGTACGGAGGGTCAAAGGGGGTCGGGTGCCTGTTGTCATTATCTCCGCTAATAAGATGGTCCACGCCCCATGGCGCTGAGGTGCCCCCCCTCCGAGTGGAAAGCAAGGTTAAATACTGCTGGAAATCCTTGCCCTGCTAGGGAAAAAAATCGGTAGAGGAGGAATCCTCCGGCCCCAGCACCCCATTAGCATTATTTCCACTGCTCTAATCACATCAGCAGGCATGAAATTGCCTTTTGACGCTCAAAGTTGCAAATTAAAAGCCCCATCTCCCTCCCTCCCCCGGCTTCTCTTCCATTCTCCTACCCTTAGCTGGTTTGGTCTGAAGAGCGGAGAAGGAAGAGTCTGGAAGCGAAGAGAAGCAGATGTCTTGGACAAGCCTGACGTTGAGAAAGGGAAGGGAGGTGTGTGGCCTGGGGAAATGCTGATGGAAACGTACCTTGCCTTGCAGCAGGGGCCTCTGGGGATGAACACCTGATCAACGCACTTGGCCCACTCTGCTCAAACCCCTCCAATGGCTTTGCACTGGTTGAGAATAACACCCATGACTACATACAGGCAGTGGGCGAACACCATCGGGAATATAAGTGCCAAAGACCTGTACACTTTAAAATGGTTCATGTTATATTATCGTGTGAACTTTACCTAAATAAAATAGGACCTGCTCTTTTGGCCCATGTGCAAAATCCTACCCGGTCTGTCCTTAACCTGTGTCTCCATCCTCGTGGCCTCCAGCTCTCCCTTATCCCTATAGTCAGCTGCACTGGCTTCCCTGCTCAGTCCCAAACTCCGAAACCTTGTTTCTGCCTCAGGGCCTTTGCACTTGCTGTGTCTCCCGCCAGGAACACTCATTATTCAGGCCTCAGCTCAAATACCAGCTGCTCAGAGAGGCCTTCCTTGATCCCCCATTGCCCAGATTTATTTTCTTCATGGCGCCTATCACTAATTCAAACTATCTCTCTAAAAAAATTTTGTTACCTGTTTACTGCATCTCTCTACACGCAACCCCCCCTACCCCTGCACCAGAATGTTGGTTTCAGGAGGGCAGGGGCCTTGTCTGGGTCTGGGTCACTACTGTGTCAATCGTATTTAGAATAGTGTGTGAGAGTGAGCACAGAAAGTTATTGAATTAAGACACAGTCCCTTGTGGCCCAAAGGGATGTTAAACGTCTAATCCTAAGGGTGACCTAAGCAGTGGAACTTGGTTAGTCTAAAGGACCAAGGACAGCTCCCTGGGGAAGTGACAGCCATGTTAAGACCCAGACAGAGATCTGCTGTGATACAAGCAAAGCTTACATTTGGGACTGTTCCTTCGCACAGGCACCTTCCCAGACCCCAGGAGGGGCATTAGCAATGGTCCTGTGAGCTGAAAAATTTGTAAAAGCAAGGTAAAGAGGGCCCCCCAAATTATGTAAGCTTCAGGCCCCAGAGCAGCACTAGGGCCCCTGCGGTGACCGCAAGGGTAAGGTGAAATCCAGGAGGGGACAGCAGAGAAAGAGACCGGACCTGGCGACGGGAGTAAACGGTCTTTGCAAAGGCTTGGAGTTGAGAGAGCGGGCAGAGCGCCGGAGGAGGTGAAGATCAACGTGGCAGCCAGCCTGCAGGGTGGTCCCCTAGGACTCCTGCCTCCTGGTATTCACGCTGACTTCCGGCCGGTCCCGTGTGACCAAGAAATACAGTGGGAGTGGCAGTGCGTGACTTCTAAGGCTGGGTCGTAAAAGCCATCGCAGCCTCTGCCTTGTGGCCTTGGATCGTTTGCCCTGGGGGAAGCCAGACGCCACGTCATGAGGACATGCTAACATCCCTGTGGAAAAGCCCCATGTGCAGGGGAAGGGAGACCCCCAGCCACAGCCAGTGCCATCTTGACTGCTCCGCGGTCCTCCAGCCCCCAGCAAGCCCTGGGAGGATACCAACTGCACGAGTAACCCTGTGGGGGAAGCACCCGCCACCCTCAAATTCCCACCAACAGAAACCGGGAGATGTGATAAAGGTTTCATTGTTTGCAGCCACCAAGGTTGAAGCGATTTGTCCTGCAGGTACTGGAAAAACTCGGCTGGAGGGTAGAGACAGAGTGGCAAAAAGCCCCATCTACAGGGTCTGTATCGGGAATATAAGTGCCTCTCCCTCTCCCTCTCCCTCTCCATTTTGTATGGATGTCCTTTCTACATTCTCTATTGCTGCATCACGAGTTATTACCGATTTAGGGGCTTAAAACAGCACACATTTGTGATCTCACAGTGTCTGTGTCCATCCAGGCCCGGCTAAGCCGGCTCCTCCGCTTGGCATCTCATGAGGACGCAGTCAGGTGTTGGCTGCGCTGTGTTCTCATCTGGACGCTTGACCGGGGAAGGGGGAAAAATCAGCTTCCAGGCAAATTTGGGTTGCTGGAAGGATTCATTTCCTTGCAGCTGCGTAACTGAGGGCCTGGCTTTTTGTTAGCAGTTGGCAAGAGGCTACCCCTGGGGTCCTGGGGGCAATCCGCAATTCCTAACCAAGTGGGCTTCTCCAACTTCATCCTGGGAGCTGCTTGCTTCATCAAGTACGCCAGGGGGACCTGGCTACTGTCAGCTGAGAAAGAGTCTTATACAACATAATGTAATCACGAGAGTGACATCCTGTCCCTTTGCTGTATCCTATAGGTTAGAAACAGGTCCCGGGTCCCACCCACCCTCAGGCGCCCTCACCTTGAGGGGACCTTGATTACACAAAGGCATGAACACCAGAACATTGTCTGTCTGCCACAGCCTCCCTAGCAGGGGTCTTTCCAGCCTTGCTTGAATGCTCCCCACAACGGAGACCTCACTTTCTCAGGGAGCCTGTGATGTTGTATTGGAAAGATCTTCCTTACAGTGTGCTAATATCCCTGAGCCTGACGTTTCTTCAATTATTTTTAAAGGATGCACTGGACTCCAGCATAATGAAGATCACCCACCCTTCCCAAAAGAGCCTGCGTCATAACCTAATTCAGCCATCCCTCCCCCAGGTCCCTCTGGCTTTCCCTAGAAATGGACGTCCCAACTGGCCCTATTCTTCCCTTCTTTGTCCTCACTTTTCTTCCTTCTACCTCTTCTGATCCCTCTCCATTTATGTCCTGCCTTTACAAAGCAGCCTAGTGACCAAAAACAGAGCACAGGTGAGATGCTGGGCCATGTTCCCAGTGGAGACCCCTTCAAGGACGTGTTCCTGGAGCTCACCATCTGGTCGTGGGCAGGGTCAGTCACGGGCCAGACACAAAACCAATGCCTCTCACCCCATCACACAACTCACCGGGGTCCGTGTGTGCAGGAAATGGGTGCTGCTGAACACGTGTGGCTCCAGAAACATAAGCAGGGACAGGGGTCCCTGAGAGGGCCTGCCTGACATAATTGCCTCCATCTGCAGACAGGCAGAAGGCGTGCCAGGGGTTGCCAGCCCCTCTCCAACCCCTCCCCCATTCTCGGCTCCAAAACACGCAGTTGACAAACAGCTCATCCAGTGTTTGAAAATGTCACCGACTGGTCTCAGTGGGGACTCACAAGCCTCCTGTGGATTTTCGTGTTTTAATTCCAAAAGCAAACAGAGAGAAGCGAGATAGTGTTTCAGACCAGAGCCTCTGCTCTCAAGAGAGAGACTGGGCCTGTCTGGGCCTCCCCGTGATATGCTGGGGAGCACTGTCAGCATGGAACCCTCGAGAATGCTCCTAAGACAGGACAGTGGCTCCTTTGCCAAGGCCCTCTGAGCCCAGGATCCCAGCTCTGCAGCCTTAAGACCAGGGTCCAGTGTTGGGAACTCATCAAAGGCCAAAGTACTCAAGTTACTCACAGCATTGCATCCAAGCCAGAAAATACACGGACGGCCTACTGCATGGCAACGTGAGCCCTCCCTGACCTGGCGGAGTTCAAGATTGTAATCCTGGGTCTGCCGCGTGTAAGCAGCGGGCTCTGCTCTGCTCTAAGTATCAGTTTCTGGATCTGTTAAATGGGAATGGTTTCATTTCTGTTTCCTGCTGGGGCCCTCGGAGGCTGCATGTAGAGAGACCCCTGGCTTGCCAGCTGAGACAGGTAAGGGTGAATTGCGTCGCCTGTCTCCACTCTTATCCACACACTTAAGACAAACATCAAAGGATGCCTGCCTCCTATTCCCTCGCCCCGCCGCCAAACTGGGCTCAGCAGTTCCCTGGAGGGATCTCAAGGGCTGCAGGGGGGTGGGGGATAGAAGGACAGGATAGGTAGGCAACCAGGCCGCCCACCGTCCTCACTCAGCTGGGTTCTCAGCACTAGCAGAAGACGGATACCAGTAAAGAAAACAAAGAGAAAAAAATGGAAAAGAACGTAGTATTTAACAAAAGCATGAAATTTGGTTTACTGCATGGATGACCTCCATACTTCACCCTTCCAAGTATCCATGCCCTTTGCCGCGTGAATTTGAAATCGCTCTCACCCAAGAGTCAGTCTATTTCTCTACACGTGCATCCTTCCCAGACTTCTGACTTGCCCTGGCCAATGAAATGCAGGGGAGCGATGTCGTGCCACCCCCGAGGCGGAGCCTGCAAAAGTCTTGCGTGTTTGTGCTCACTCTCTCGCGCCCCTGCGGTGACCGTGACAACAAGCCCAGGACAGGGGGCTGGAGGATGAGACGCATGTGGAGCAGAGCTGAGCCGTTGCAGCCATGGCTCCTAGATCAGCCAGCCCCGCTGATGCATAAGCAAGCCCAGGCAAGCCCAGACCCCTGAGAGTAAGCGACTGGCGTTCCATGCCACTGAGTTTTAAGTTGGCTCGTCATACAGCAAAAGCGAACTGATACAGTGTCCACTGTGGCGACCACACAGATAGGTGAAGCCCGTTAGGGCGTCTACGTTTATTTTACAGTTTGGTATTATTGGAAATGACCAGCGGCATCAACTTCCCTATAAGATGTTGAAGGCTTGTAGCCACTAAAGGTCTTTATCCAGCTCTCCTCTGATCTACCTTACATATCCAGCTTCTGAATTAAATTCATTCAAAGCGTTTCGCTGTTGACAAAAAGTTTAAAGATCACCGCGGCTGGCCTGCAATTTGTCCAGATGCCTGACACGCAGGAGAGGGGAGGGAATTGCTGAGAAACATGCATGAGGCAGAGACTCTAGAAACCGGCATCCGGATCGTGCTTCGGCTGCTACCTGAGCCTACCTGCTCAGGGGTGTCGGGACAGGGACAGAAGGAGCCCTCCCGCCACAGCCAACACCCAGGGCCCCCAACACAGAGGAGATCCGTCCTGACTGCTGGTAGAAGCCCTTCACACATGTCGCTCCCTGAAATACTGCAAAATCCAGACTCCCACCTCCTTTTGGCCTCCCACCTTGATTCTTCATTTCATGCACACAATAGTCACATAATAAATACCCACCAGATGTCTCTATTAATAAATTATAATTCCCAAAAGGAGTAGGACGAGGCAAGTGCTGTCGGGGCACGAAGGCTCCGAAACATTAAATAGCAGCGGTGTGCAGAAAATTAATCCTTTTTCTTTCCTTTCTTACTTCTTCTCCACCCCCCTGTCCCCCAGGATGCCAACACGGGCAGGTGTCGGCAGGAAGTCTCTTTACAGCTCAGTGAATGAGGTTTTAATGACTCCTGGAGGAAAGGATGGGGAAGGAGGGGCGGCTACACCATGGAATGCCATGGAATGTTTTACATAGGCCTTGCTGGCCTAAAGGCGCTTCTGGATGAAATTCACCCCTACTAGACTAAAGGGGGTACAGAAAGGATGCTCGGGTTCCTCCTACCCCCTTTAGACTGCTAAGGGAATCTCAAGTTCCCGCTAATCTTTTAAGTCAGACTGAGTTCTACTCAGTTCTTCTAAATTTCCATGCCGCCTCTCACATTTGGACTTTGCACATGCTGTTCCTCTACCTGGAACTCCTCTGTCTCTTCTCCATCTTGCTCCTCTGTCACCTGGTCTCAGTTTCCACATCACGTCTTCCAGGAACTCCCCTATCAGGATCACCAAGTCTGGGTTATGTGCCTCTCCTTGCATTCCCAAGGCTCACTGTGATTCTGCTATGACAGTTCCTTGCATGCTTGGGTATTTGTTGCGGACTGGCTATTTATTTGTTTGTAGACCCCCCTGGATCCATACTCATACTTTGGCTATGCCTGTATCCCTAGGACTAAGCACAGTGTTTGACATGTGGTGGGAACTTGGTGAGGATTTGTTAATGAAGGAAGGAAGAGAAGACGGGAGGAAGGGAGGAGGGAAGGGGTGAAGGAATGAGGGAGAGAGAATGAACACATACCCTACCTTTCGACTTGCAGCACTCAGAGGAGTACCCTCTGGAGCCATGAACCTCTCGTGTGATGTTCATATTTACGCTCTGACAACGTCTCAGCATCTCTCCCTACATGTCTGAATAAATATACTCGTGATATTCATCAAAAGCAGATTTTGTCTGGCCAGAGTCTTATCAGCCAACATCAGACTGTAGGACATTCAAATGGTCTTTAGTGATCAGCTTGTTCAAAGTCCCCATTTGACAGATAGGGAGGGGCGGGGGGTCAGGGTCAGGAAAGCAGGAAAGAATTTCCCCAGGTCATCTAGTTAAGTGTTTATTAGTGTTAAGAAAACTTTTAAGGATTCTGGGTATGATGATATGGTCATTTAGGTCCAAAAAAGCTGTACAATGCATATACACCCCGCACATAAACACAGCATATATATATATATATATGTATATATATATATATACACACAAAGGCAAGGCAAGGTTGTAATTCACACATGCCTCTGATTTTGCTTGGTGCCTTACAGTTTACAAAGCTTTCCTGTACATCTCATTTGATCCTACCACCACACGAAGGGGAAGGAAGGGCACGGTGATCATTCCTATTTCACAAAGGAGGGAGCCAGGATTCAAGGAAGTGAAGGGCATCACTCAAGGCCACCCTGAAACTGAGCACCAGACCAGGACTCAGACCTGGGTTTTCTGATGTCAGACCTGATGCTCTGCTGCTGGTGCTGCAATTGCGTCCCCATCTCAGGGAGGGTAGCAACAGCCTTCCAGAGCTTCTCAACGTGCACACACAACCGAAGCCCAGTCTGCTTTGTGGCCTGACTCTTCATTTATTGGACTCGGTGTTCAATCTGTCATGCATATTGAGGAAATGAATCCAATTTAAAACACAGACGTAAGCAGAGATAGGACCTCCGCGTCAAAGGCGCCTCACTGGGAACCCAGACTGACCTCCCATGAGGTGACAGAGACCACATGTGTGGCACATAACTTCCCAAAGGCTCTGTTCTGTTCCTCATCACCTTTTATTAGTGATAGCAGTTATGTGAGTGACCATTGTCTTTATCTGAGAACGTTGTTCCCAGGCAAAGGCTGCAGAAACGGGCACAGAGGGGTCAGTAAGCTGGCTGGAATCCCGCAGGTCACTAAGAAGAATGACAGTGAGGGCTCTCCTAAGGAATGCTTTCTATCCTTTTACCAAGACAGTTTTTTGTAATTTCCTAATTTTTTTCTCCAGAAACTCGGATTTTTTTTTAAGACATGTAAAACTTGCTAGTTCCTTTTTTAACCAGCTCTCTTTGGGGGTCAGCTAATTTGAACAGAGAAGAGATAAAATTCAGTCTGTGGAAAAAATTAAAGTATCAAAATACTCACTGTTCTTTATCACTGAGGGAAGGCAAAGAAAGGAGAGAGAGAAAAAATGAATAAAGTTAAGGAAACAAATCTCATAAAATACCAACACTGGATGCAACCACTACAGAGTTGACTTTTTTAGATAGAGTGTCTTTTTAAATGTTTATTATTTTATTTTGAGAGAGAAAGAGTGTGTGTGTGAGCGGGAGAGTGGCAGAGAGAATCCCAAGCAGGCTCTGAGCTAGCCTGATGTGGGGCTCGAACTCACGACTGTGAGATCAGGCCCTGAGCTGTTACCAAGAGTCAGATGCTTAACTGACTGAACCATCCAGGAGCCCCAACAACAACCACAGAGTTTAAATTGCAATGACCTACTTCTGTTTGGTTTTGGTTTCCAAAACATTTTCCAAAAACATTTCTAGTCATTATTACCTTATTTCAGCACATCTGAAAAAGGTTGCTGCAAAGAAAGGTTGTAAAATCCTTCGCTTTGATGAAAATGACTAATCAGTTCAGCTTATTAACTGAGCCGACCATTTATGTAACTGAACAATGGATTTTTGGTACTAAAGAGAAATCGCCTAATGACAGCATGGCCAACGTCATCCTGGGGGACAGAGAGCGCATTGAGGTAGGGCAGTGAGCCCTGAACGCTCCGTGGGTCATTCGTTTGCAATGTTCCAGCTGGGGAAAGCCAGTTCTTCCACTCTAGAAAGAAGACCAGCATCTCTATTTACTAGGCGAGCAATTGTAGGCATGTCATAGCCTCCCCTGGTGCCTCAGTTTCCACCTCTGATCTCTGGTACTCTCTGCCTTGCAGACTTGAAAACTACAGAGAAATAGAACGTTTGGACACCAGCATTTCTCCCCACGTGTGGAGAGCTGAACGTACCCAAGCAAGAAGCAGATGTGTTCCCATCTTTCAACCACAATCACAATTGTGCCTCAAACATTGTCATTAGGTTCAAGGAGGCTGAGAGAGGGAGGCATTTGAAAATCACAAAAGCGTTTGGAAATCACAAAAATAGTAAGTGTCTCTGGCTAGCCAGAAGTGAATCAAGACTGGATTTCTTAATTTCCCAGAGAAAGACCTTAGAAACATCTGCATTAGCTGCAGCAAACTAAGTAGCAAGTGTGATGTCTATAATTCACCCGTTAGTATTTATTTGACAAATAATTTTAATATCTGAAGGAAACGTAGAAGCAATCAAGGCAGCCGGATGCATGCAGAATGCCAAGATGTTTCACAGAAGAGCCCAGGAGCACTTTAAGAAAACTGCATCCAGACGGTTGGAATAATTTTAATTTAATTGTAGGGCAAATTGTTTGGCTTCATATCGACTAAAAGTAAACTCTGATGGATGGTATTTTAATTAACTGACATTTCCTAAATAAATATTTTACCCTCATCCACCCTCCGGCAACTGTTTATCTTACAGAAACACAATTTTTTGGCCGATGGAATGTTCTCTGCAAAGTAACTTTGGCTCCAAGAGAACACCATGGGAAGGGCTTGGCAGAATAGACGTTTCCTTTGGAAAAGTTCCATAGTGTCGGCAAAACTGTAAAACTCACAGAACTCGAGGTTTTGGACAGAAGTAAGCAGACGGGGGCTTTTGCTTCAGAGAATATGGGTGGACTAAATACTCAGACCCTTCATCAATGCATAATTAGGTCCTAGATAAATTAGAAAAGACTCCCCCCCCTTTTTTTAATGCAGTTCTGGGATTGCTATAAAGTTAGGGGAATTCTCCAACACCACTTCCCCTTGCAACACAAATAAACACAACAGACTTGGTCAAAATGAAAACTTAAACGCTTCTGTTACGAAAAAGAAAAGGCAAGTCAGAGCCAAGAGAAAATACTTGCAACGATGTGTATCCAAAAACAGGACTCTTATCTATAGCGTATGGAGAAAAAAGCTTGTAAAATTTAGTAAGAAGGTAAATGCCCTGATTTTAAAATGGAAAAAAGATTTGAACAGACACTTCAACAAAGAGGTTACGTGAAAGGCAAGCGTTACGTAAGAGGGGGTTCGGCATCATTAGTCGGTAGGGAAACGCAAGTGAAAAGCACGAGGAAATGCCGCTGTGCACACACTAGAATGATTAACGTTGGAAAGACTGGCCACGTCAAGGGCCGTGAGGAGAAGGCACAGAAGCTAGAATTCTCATACGCCTTCTGGTGGAAATGTAAAATGGTGCAGCCAACTTGGAAAACAGTCTGGCGGCTTTGGAAGAAGTTCGGCGCATACCTATCACGCGAGTACGGGAGCCTGCTCCTAGGTGATGACCCAAGCGAGAGGAAAGCATCTCTCTACGAGGCTTTATGTGTCCCAGCCCCAGGCTGGAAACAGCCCAGAGTCCATCAGGAGACAAACGGATAAACAAATTGTGGTATCGCCACACAATGAGACAGAATTCAGTAATCAAAAGGAACAAACTATTGACCCGCACAACAATATGGGTGTTTTGGAACAAGACGAATGGATCATGAAAAAGAAGAGAGACATCTGCGTGAAATTCTAGGAAACATAAACTAATGTTACAATTACAGAAAGGTTAGCAATTACCTAGAGATGTGGGGGTTGGGGTGGGGGGAGGAAGAGGCACAAGGAAACAGTGGGGAAGTAGGGATTTGTTCCTTACCACACGACTGCATGTGATACCTTCACGTTCTTCCAATGGTCAAACTGGACTTCAAATGTGTACTGTTGAAGGTACATATTCATACTCTAGAAGGCAATTTTTTTTTAAAAACAGAGAGAGAAAATAAAGCAAACTGAATCTAGGACAGCGAGCTGTGAGCAGTAAGCCGATGCGAATACTAGCACTGTGTTCCAGAGTCTGACCTTACGCCCCTAACAGGCGGAGAAGCTCAATCTGAGACCCGGGAGGACGTTGAGCCAGGACCCTCCAAGGGAGCTAACGCCATCCTGGGGGAGTGACTCTCCTGAATCCTGGCAGAAGCAAGAATGTTAATCCTTCTGAAGAAAAATATCCCCGAAGTCGATCCCCAGGATTCTCACAGATTGAACTCACAGTGAAAAACTACCAAGCATTCAAAGAAGCCATTTTGAGTGAAAACCTACAGGAATGATAAACAACAGACTTAGGTGGTCAGGCACTACAGGCAGTGGTGTGCTGGTGAACCCTCCACAGACAATTTAACGGTGGAGAAAAAGCCCCGCTGAATGCAAAATTGGGAAGAAATATGCAGGAGCATAGCATTAGATACACGGGTTTAATAGGGGCGCCTGGGTGGCTCATTCAGTTAAGCATCTGACTTTGGCCCAGGTCATGATCTCTACACTGACAGTGTGGAGCCTGCTTGGGATTCTCTCTCTCCCTCTCTCTCCCTGCCCCTCCCCCACTTGCATTCTCTCTCTCTCTCTCTCTCTCTCTCTCTCTCTCAAAATAAAACATATGTCACATAACACAGAGAATAACAAAATATAGTAAAGTAATTAAGTGATTAATTTTGAGTATTTATATCCTTTGTGTTTAACATAATTCAATGGTAACGTTATAAACTTAATTTTTAATGACTGTGTTTAATAACAGGCTTGCCAAATGCCCCAAAATTTATCAGCTCTCATGAGCCAGTATGGCACAGATCTAATACATCCCTTATTCAGGTATAATAATTACTGGATACAGAATATGACGTTACTTTTATGTAAAATTTCCCAATTTTTAAATAATCAGGCCAAAACCAGATAGCAAAAACAAACAAACAAACAAAAAAACACGGTTGCAAGTCACAGTCAGCTGGTGGCCTGCCCGTTTGCAACCTGTGATCTAGTCCAACCTCCTCATTTGACTGATGAGGAAACTGAGGCCCAGAGGGAGGAAGAGATTTGCCTATGATCGCACAGTAAATGAGCTCACATCTAGAAGCAGAACCAAGTCTGATTTCAACTGCTGGATCAGTGCTCTCACCACTCCACCGTGCCACCTCTAATATGTGGTATGGAGTTCAAAATTTCACCTTGCTTTTTTTTTAACGTTTATTTATTTTTGAGAGAGAGAGAGAGAACAAGCAGAGACAAGGCAGAGAGCGGGAGACACAGAATCCAAAGCAGGTTCCAGGCTCTAAGCGGTCAGCACAGAGCCTGATGTGGGGTTCGAACTCACAAACCATGAGATCATGACCTGAGCTGAAGTCGGACGCTTAACGGACTGAGCCACCCGGGCGCCCCAAAATTTCATCTTGTTCTTGCAACCTTGCGAAGCAGTAAAATGGGTGAAGAAGTTTCCATGGCAATACCCCCACCGGGTGTTTCTTCCCCCCTCACCCCACGGAAGGAAATTCTGTTTCCTTCCTTGTTTTTCCTGTCTTCCTTCAAGTGTAGGACTATCAGGACCTCACTGACCCCACACAAGCCACTCCCAGGAAGACGCAGGGACTTACTCTGATTGAAGGGGTCGGTCACTGGGACACATCCAACGGCTAGAGCTGTTGCTGAACACGGTGTCAGTCATGGCAGAAGTTCGGTGCTCCTGGAAAACATTAACCCGGACATCACCTAGTTATCCAGCCGCTCTTTCTTAAGTCCCTACTCTATGCCAAGCACTCCAGGAGATGCAGAGAAGACCGGCACGTCACCCAGCTTCTCCACTTCCCAGATGGAGAAACCCAGGCCCCACGAGGGAAAGTTCCTTCTGGAAGTCACAGCTCCCTAAAGGCAGAAATGGATCGGAGCCAAGAGCCTTCTTCCTAAAACCCACATCCTCCTTCTTCACTAACTCAAGGCCACGTGTCCAGCAGGGGGAGGGTCAGAGTTCTTGATTCCAATCCAGGGTCTTTCTACCGGAGGGTGTCATCTGACTCATTTGCCAGTCACCTTGGCCTTGGCCAGCTTTGAGGTCCAAAACCCTGAAGTCAATCCTGGCTTTAAAAAAAAAATACTTTTGGGGTGCCTGGGTGGCTCAGTCGGTTAAGCTTCCGACTTCAGCTCAGGTCACGATCTCGTGGTCTGTGAGTTCGAGCCCCGCATCGGGCTCTGGGCTGATGGCTCAGAGCCTGGAGCCTGCTTCCGATTCTGTGTCTCCCTCTCTCTTTGACCCTCCCCCGTTCATGCTCTGTCTCCCTCTGTCTCAAAAATAAATAAACGTTAAAAAAAAAATTTAAAAAAATAAAAAATAAAAAAATACATATAAAAAAAATACTTTTAACACCCGACCCATCCGAAAATGACGTTGGTTTGATCTCCACAGTGGATCCAGAATCTGCCCACTGCTCTCTGCCTGGCTCACCGCTGTGCTGATCCAAAACACCGCTGTCTCCGCCCGGCTTACTGTGGTGGCCTCTTCCACAGCCTCCCTGCTTCCATACCCTTGGCTTTCCTCAGTCCACGCTCCACACAGTGGCCAGGGAGATCTTTACAAACACAACTCACAGCTTGTAAAAACAGCACCCCACGGCGAAACCCAGAGATACTGTGGGATCCAGCAATTCCACGCCTAAGTATCGACCCGCCCAGGGGAAACAAAAGCATTTGTTCACCCAAAAACGTGTACGCGGATGCTCGTAGCAGCATCATTCGTAACAGCCAAAGAGTGGGAATGACTCCGTATTCACCAACTGATGAGCCTACAAACAAGATGTGGTGTGGTCTAGGCGATGGAAGGTTATGTAGCCGTAAAAGGGAAAGAGGTTCTGACATGCGCCACGCGGACGAACCTTGAAAACAGGGTGCTGGGTGAAAGACGCCAGACACAAAAGGCCACATTGTGTGATTCCATTTGTAAGAAATATCCAAACCTACAGAGGTGGAAAATAGATTTTGGTTGCCAGGGGCTGGGGAGGGTGGGGGGGGGGACTAGGAGGTGATGGCTTTGGGGCACGGGGCTTCTTTGGGAGGGACAATGACAATGTTCTAAAATTCATTGCAAAGGGTGAATTGTTAGGATATGTGAATTGTATCTCAGTGAAGTGGGGGGAGGGTGGGACCATCACTTTGGGAAGCTGGCAGGCCCATTAAAGCTATGGACGTTCATCTCCCCTACGGTTCACGAGTGCGACTCTTAGGTATACACCCAAGGAGAAAATGCTCACGTTCTAAGCATGTATAAGAACGTTCACAGCTTCTTGATTCACAACAGCTAAAACCTAGAAACAATCCAAATGCCCATCAACAGGAGCGTAGATAGATCCGTGTGGTCTGTCCACGCAGTGGGATGCTGGTCTGCAATAAAAGACAAACCCCTGATGTATGTAGCGATAGGGACACATCTCACAGACACTATATTTTATGAAGGAGGCCAGCAGCAAAAGAGAACACGCTATATGACGGTGGGTTTCATGGAAGTTAAGAAGAGACAAAGCTATTTGATGATTGTGGAAATCAGAGCAAATCCATTGCTAACTTTGGGGCTGGGGAGGGGCAGCTGGGGAGGGGCCTCTGTAGGATGAAAATGTTCTGTATCTTGATCTGGGTGGTCATTAAACAGGTACATACCCCTGCAAAAGCCGTGTCTGCACTTTATGTCCCTTCCCTCCCTTCCTCAAATACAGTAAATGAGCCCATGTCACTCTTTTGCTCAGAAGTCTTCAATGGCTCCCTATTGCTCCCAGAATAAAATCTAAACTCCTTGGCATGACCTTGGCTCCTTGTGACCTCCTTCTCTAACTCTACCCCCCCACTCTCCTCTTGCTCCCTACGCAGCCCCCCGCGCCCTCTCCCCCAGGCCTCTCTGCCTGCTCTCCCCTCTGCCAGGAACTCCAGGCCCATATGCCAGGCTCACCGCCGTTTCTTTAGGTGTGTTCCCAAATGTCATCCCCTCAAAGGGCCCTCCCTGACTGCTCCATTTAAAACAGCTCCTCCCCCACGTCCTCCGCTCTGGCTTCCTTTACTCTGATTTCCTTTTCTTCCCAAATTTATCAGATGTCTTATTTCTTTATTTGCTTAGAGTTTGCCTCTCTTATGTCTAAAACGTAAGCCCCTTGCAGGACTTACTCTGTTCTGTTCTCTCTTAATCTCCAACACTTCACAGAGCGCCTGGCGCATAGAAGGCATTTAATAAACATTTGTTGAATGCATGCGTGAGTCTCCTTCAACACTAAGGCAGTCCAGCTGAACTGAGCCAGGCTCATGTCCTCTGTGAGGCTCCCCGCCCCCCTCCCGCAGGTCTGGCCAAAGGGCAAAGCGGGAGAGGCCACGGAGATTACATTTAATTAATTAAAAAACAAAAACTTCGGAACGTGGGTCACTGTGTCCCGTGGGGCCCGATTTCCCTGAAGGTCTTGGCACCACACGGCCTCGTTTTCTGGGATGCTGGGAAGTCGGGAGATGAACAGGGAGAGCCCTCTCTCTCCTATCCTGCAGCCCCTGGAGTTATTAAATCTTTGAGTGAGTGAAGCCAGAGGGGGGCCGAGGGCTGGACACATGGGAGGCAAGCCTCTTACAGAAAAGCCATTTCGTCTGCTCCCCTGTGATTGACATAATCTTCTCAGATTAATATGACCATTTCACCGTTTCTACTTGGAAAGCAGGAAGAAAGAAGGGACATCTCCTGGTGCAAAGGGAATCTGCTGAAAAGAAACTTGTCTCGTTATTATCTGTGTCAGTTGCTGAGCGAGGCCATCCTGGGCCCCCGGGACCCCTGGCCCCTGCTCGGGCCCAGGTTTTGGGCTTCCTCGGCTGCTCCCGGACGGGGACTCCAAACATTCATTCGAATGCCCTGCCTCCTGCTTTGCAGCAGAGATGTGGTGCTGCCCTCGGGGGACCCCGGGAAGCAGGGAGGGCTGGGACGGGGGTGACACGGTCTCCGCCCACGAACTCTAATCTCCAAATGCTGTTGCTCTCCAGGCGGAACCTGGCGGCCCATCCTCTCCTGCATTCAGTCATGCACACCAGGAGCTCATTTCCTGTTAAAAGTCTGCCTGCAAAGTCCAAGATCATTCATGGAAAGCACCCAGCTCGGTCCTCCAGGCCAGAAGCTACCCTGGACCCTACTGGTTATTTCAGCTTTGCCATCCAGAGAAAGGAGGTCACGTGCCCACAGGCAGACCGTGGCTGGGAGGATGGGGGGACAGATGCAGGTGGAGGCGAGGGGGCACAGCACGCATTGCCGATGTCCTTGACAGGAGGGGCGTCCACCCCCAGCCTCTGGGAGTGTTAGCAGCTAAGGGCTCATGGCAGCACCGTTTTCCAGAGAACTGCCCTCAGCCAACAAAAGCAGCTGCCTTGCCCAGAGACACCCCGAGTGCAGCCCAAAGCCAATGAGTAACGGGCAGGGGGCAATGTAAAAGCACAGACTTTTTGTCTCGAGGCGGGACAAGCGTGTGCCAGCATGCTCCAGAGCTCCCCATGGGATCCGGCTGAGGCCAGACTCCAGCTGAAGCCCCGTCCTCGCCTGGCATCCCTCGCTGCTTCCCGGAGTCATCACTGGTACCAGAAAATCCCATCGCGGGTTCTGCTTCTAGAGTACTTGACCTCACGCGGGAGTAGAATTTTAGGAAATCGGGGTTCCGATCCCCAAGCTCATCATGTTACTTAGCCATCTTCTAACCTGATAAAAGGCAAGCCTAAGACAGTCTCCCACCTGCCTGCAGATGCTGCCCCAGGAAGTCCAGCCACGGTGTCAGGTTTGAGGGCGAGTTAACAGAAGTGGAGAAAGCCTCTGACGTTTTCAGATGACCCCTGCCTCTCCTATTGCACACTACAGAGAAACCATCACCACAGTGGACAGGAGGCCTGCAGCTCCAGGGAGAAGCCCCAGAGGGAAACCAACCATTGGCGCCAGGAGCAAAATCAGAGATGCCTGTGTCAGATAAATTACATAGGATTCTGCCCCAGGACCCGCAGAACCTCAGCGTCACCGAGCTGATGAATTTCAGCATCTACAACAGTCCCTGACACACAGTGAGCACTTGCAGAAAGATAATCCCCCCTTCCTACTTCCCCTAGACTATAGCTTATGTAACAACGATGACCAACATTTCTTGAGCACCTACTATGTGCAAAATTTCATACCTTCGTCATTTGCTTTAATCCTTACAATCCTACTGTCAGGTAAGTGACATTTTACAGGTAAGAAACTGAGGTTCAGAGTGGTTAAGCCACCTGTTTAAAATCACACAGCTACCAACAAGCAGACTCAGGGTTTGAACTCTCTCCAAAACCCATGTGCTAATCACTACTCTGTTCACACCTACAGAACATTCCTCCCTGGGCTTTAGATTATTGGATCCTGACAGCTCCTGGCTGTATGCCCACCTTTCAGCCCCAGAAACAAGCTGAGACCCTCCCCCACCAGCCCCCTACCTAGAGATGCTGAGAGATCACACACTTTGGCTCGCTCGGTCAAGGCCAAAGTCATGGCTCAGATCCAGTCCTGCAGCTGCAAGTTCAGAAAGCAGAAAATAATTGCCTCCCCAGAAGCCAGAGGCTCCAAGTCTCTTTCCTGGGGCACAGGTGATCCCCCCCCCACTCCCCACTCCCCAGTCCTGGTGCAAACTCCAAGGAACAGTCTGCTTTCAATAATAAAAGCAACAA